AACCATGCTGCTAAAATGGTTTTTAATGGGACATTTGGCTATTAACTAGAGACTTTGTTTAAAGCTGCAACAATCTGTAAACCAGTGTCTAGCTACAGTTGAACTGATCAGCTCGTCTCACCTATTATTGACCCACAGAAAATCTAGACTTAGACTCTGAGGGTGATGACAGCATTTTCAGGGGTTTATGAGCAGCAAGAGTAGTTTATGAGTAATCTGGGCCAAGACTTTGTTTGTTTAAAAATGCAGATAAGAATAAGAAAAAAAGAGTAGTTAGAGCAGTTAGTAGCAGATGGTTTTATGATGCTATTCGGCAATTGCAGCTCTTCCTTTGCCCTCCACACAAAGTGCTCACTTGCATACAACCAAAGCCTGGTCCAACATGATTCATTAGTACTCTGCAAAGAAACCAGGAAACTTCTCATAAAAGAAGTGTTGCCCCTTTGGCTACATATTCATCATATTCAAATTAGTTTGTTTAAATATGTCAAAGAGTGATGTGAGAATTTTCAAAGTTCAAACCAAAATGATGAGAAAAACAACACTGTTTCATAACACGATACTCAGATCCAGATGCATGGCTAAAACATAGACTGTACACAAAGATGGACACAGCCACCCGCTGGTCTCTTCAGTTTGCACTTTGAAGCTTCTGTATTTGTGTTTTGCTAGTTTGTGAAGCCAGACTCAGATGATCATTAGAGGAACTGTTGTTTCATTTTTCAGCTACAGAGTGTAGCACTCCACACAGTCCAGATAATCTCAGAAGACTCAGTCTGAGCAGGCAGTTGAGCTAAGAACAGGTTTAAGGATCAAATCCTCCTGCCTAACATTTCTGTTTCCCTCTAACTTCAGTTTCCTGCTCAGACCAAAGCAGCCCCAGATGAACAAAAGGTGTTTGGCTTGTGGGAGACCGGAGAGGACTTCGACAAGGTAAACACTCACAGCAATCACTGAACTTCACAAGAATTTAAAAAATAATTTATTATTATTATTTATTTATTTATTTATTTATTTATTTTTTAATGAATCAGTGATGTTTCAGTGTGGGCCACGATTGCGTCTGACTGCAACACTAAAGTAAGATGCAGTTCTGTGAAGTGTTTTCTTCAATTTCTGACATAGACTTGCTTTGGTCAATCAGTGTGTGGCATTGCTAATTTATTTAAAACGCTAGTGCAGAATTAAAAAGGGACCAATAAATATAATACTGCCACTACTTAGTTAGCTCAGCACAGCATTTGGAAACAAGGAGAAATAAAACAAGCCACCGAATTTAGCCGATTACATCAAACAAGTTGTGCTTTTATGTTGTTACATGTGAAAGCATTTCTTTTGCCAGGAGTTACAAAAACAAGCTGCTACTGACCCAGTCTTGCAATTTATCCATATTTCCTAATGTGCTGATTTAGTGATATTAAGATTTAACTACAAACTGTATATAAAAGATGGGTGAAGCCACTGTGTCACCCATTGGTTTGTAAAATCCTGTTATGGGGGATCAGTTTTAGCATTTTGGCCACCGTATCTTGTTTGTTTATTTTCTGCCATCCCCATCTTGGCTCACGGTCTCATTGGCTCACGTCTTGTCAGTCACAAGTGATTAGCTAATC